TATATATATATGTAAATGTCTAAGATTCCGATACTCATTATTTATAAGCTGATAAATCTATATATATATATATAGAGATAGAGAGAGCCACCAGAGAGTTTTATGATTTTATCAAAACTTTTTTAAGAGTGATTATGTTTTGTTTAAGCATCACTTTTAACCAAGTCAATACAAGTAATAATCAATTATCTTTTTTAAAAAAATTAAATTAAACATGCAAAATAATCTTAAGAATAAATATATTAAAAAATTTTACATTATATTATTTAATTAAATGAAATTAAAAATTTAATTTATTAATATACTGATAAAATTATAGTAAGTAATTAAATTAAATTAAATCTCAATAAATCTATTATTTATAAATAAAATAAATATTTTATAATAATTAATTTTTTTAATTATAATAATTATAAACGAATTAAAATTTTTATTTAATATTTTACTTCTTAAAAAAAATTAAAAGATCTCATCTCTCTTTTGAGTTTTTTGTTTTTTGTTTTATTGAGAAAATAAGAATTGTTCATTTATAAAATATAATAAATTTATGTTAACAGTAAATAGATTAGGAGTCTTTTAAAGAATCCATTGAGACTGAGATAGTCGGAAAGCATCCCAAGTTAAACAATTGAGTTATCTAAAATACCATACAAATTGAAGCACAACAAACTTTTCTCACATTTTAAAAAAAAAAAAAAAAAAAAAATCTTCTAGTGATGAACTAAACTTAATTTTCATGCAGATAACATTGTATTTCTTGTCACTTATCATTGCTATTACTTAAATATGTATATAACACACATTTAACTAATACTTGATAAATATTTATCATGCACAAATAATGTTGTTTTTTTTTTTTATAAAAAAAAAAGAATAGTAAATTTAGTTTAAACTAGTTTACGTCTACAATTTTAAAATTAAACTAGTTTAAATACCTTACAGTAAAAAAAAAAAGATTAGCTAAATGAGCTTTTAATTTTTCACCAAAATTAGCTCTAATCAAATTTTAATAAAGATAAAGAATTACATACTATTTTAATTTGCAAGAGTTCATTTTTCAAGGCCCAATTTGGACCAAGCAACTCAGCCCAATTTCGTCCCTTTCGAGAAAAAAAAAAAAAAGGGTCAAACGGTACCGCTTTCATGACAATCCCGTTCTACCGCCAAAGCGGCGTCGTTGCGACGTGGTTCTCATCTCTGAAAATGTAGACCGTGGAGAACGTAGAAGCGAGAAACCCAATTTCGTAATAAAACGACTTCGTTTTCTAGGTTTCAAGCCCAACGAGCTTTCTTCGGAGTTTTTTTCTCCTCTGTTAAATAGCAAGTCGCGGCAAGCACTTTATCGTAAGATTTGCAGCCGCTTTTCCCAGTATCCATTTGCACTGCCAATCCGACTCGTGAAGATAGGGATCCGAATCCGCTCATCTCCAAATACAATCAAAATTATATCTGACCGCTAAACCGTCCTTTTTTCTCAGAATTCCTACCTCACCTCCGATCTCCTCAACATGGGAGACTACAACGATGCTTTCATGCGCAACCAAAACGCCGCCGTTCAGGCACGCACCAAGGCCCAGAACCGCGCCAATGTTCTTCAGCTTAAACTGGTTTGTTTTGTTCTCCAATTAGCTGATTTTTTTTTTTCGATATTTAGGGTTTTTGCTAAATAAGGATTTCACAAGTTTTAACCTTAGGCTTGTTTGGTTGGATTTGTGATCTTGATGGGTAAGATAAGGTTTTCTTAGTTTAATAATTGCTGTTGTTGAAGTTTGGTTTGAGTTCGGTTACGTTTATTTGCATCGTTTCTTTTTGGCTTTAGTTCAGTTAATCTGTGCAGTCTGTTCTCGTTATTGCCTTACGTTTACCCCCCGAATCGATTTTGGGTTTAATCAGCTGAAGATCGATTTAATTTTGTTGTTTTGACTGGTTAATAATTTGTGTTGTCAATTATTGAACATGCTGCTTGATCTTTCATGGACTCATGACTGTGTTTCCTTTTGCATATTATAGTTTTGGATCTCTATAATTTAGTACACAGGCCTCACGCTTGTGTAGTGTTGGATAATTTATACAACCATGGTCATCACTTGATCCATTAGTACGAATTTGTTGATTGTGCAGATTGGGCAGAGCCATCCAACTGGGTTAACAGCGAACCTTCTGAAGCTCTTTGAGCCTCGACCTCCTTTGGAGTTCAAACCACCTCCGGAGAAAAGAAAATGCCCTCCATATACAGGTCTTTTGCTCTATTTTCAGAAATGGGTTTGTCTCTCATTCTCTTTTAATAAAATGTTTATGTATTGTATGTATCTACCTTGTGCTTTCAGGTATGGCACAGTTTGTGAGTCACTTTGCTGAGCCAGGTGATCCTGAGTATGCTCCACCTGTCCCGACAGTTGAAACACCTGTAGGAGATTTGCTGCCACCTACTTTTCATTCATTATTGGTTTCATTCATTATGGAATTGATTTCTATAAGCAACATATTTATAATTTAAGAAGTTACTTTCGAGGTTGTAGAACATTTTATGCATATGTGCACTATAAGATGCATCTTACTAAATTGTTGGTAGCTTCGGCTTTTTCTATTTGGCTATTATATCTGTTGAACCTTTCAAGTTCTGTTTTGTGCAGGAAAAATTACGATTATCAAAAAAAAAAAAAAATCAGCTGAAAGTTTCTAAACCTTTTATTTGGTTCCTCTAATCACCACTGTTATTCAGTTTTTAATTTTTTTCCTATTCTGGAAACAACATGATCAGATTAGAGCTGGTTCTTGAATAATTAATGTATTTACTTTATAACAACTTATGACATATAGCTTACCCATTGTTAGTTTGAAACTATAATTGTAGGAGTAGTTGTTTTCCCGTAGCACCTTTTTTGCCTGTGTTTTTGCTTTCTAAGTCCTTTCATGCATCCAGGTGGAAAGAAGAGCAAGAATACATAGGCTACGATTGGAAAATGGTGCAGAAAAGGCTGCCGAGGAGCTCAAGAAATGTATTTAACCTTTCTTTTCCTTTACTATTTTCAAAATTATTGATAGTTCACTGTTTTTACAGTTCTGCAACTTTGAATTTACTTGTATCTTTATGCAGATGATCCAAATAATGACCCAAATATAACTGGAGATCCATTCAAGACTTTGTTCGTTGCTAGACTTGTAAGATACACCTCCCTTTTCAAAATTGATATTCGGTGATTCCTGGACTTTCAGATTGGTGTCTTACAAGTTATATTGCCTTCCTGCAGAGTTATGACGCAATTGAGAGTAAAGTTAAAAGGGATTTTGAATCTTTTGGACCAATTAAACGGGTAGGTAAATTTAAAGCATCCCCAAACAGGTTTGGTAAGAGGTTATGTGGCAGCTTGCTCTTTCAGTTCTGTGGTAAAATGTTGACTTTTTACCCGAAAATTTTCTATGTTTAAAGAACATACACCTCTTTAAAATTCTTATCTTTTACTCTTAACTGAGTTTATTTGTGTAAAAAGTACCATTTGTGTGTTCCCTGATCTTTGCTGACTCTTACCTTGTATCTAATATTATAAAAAACTTTAGAAAATTGTTTTTCTCCTTGAATTTGAAATTTACTATTGAATTTCTATACAAAAAGTTGACTGTAATGCTTTAATGTCACCAACATGTGGAAATGGTAAGTTTATCTGGTGATGTGCTTTCCTCAACATCTGTGTAAATTGTAAGGGGAAATAGTTGAGTATCTCCCTGCTCTGTGATATATTATGGTGGTGTGCGAATACAAGTTGGAAATAATAACACAGGTATCATCAAAAAGGTTTCTTTCGTTCACCCTCTGATAACTTTTCTAATATAGTTGGGTTCTTTGGGACATGGGTGTTCTTCAACTTTCTAGGTATTGTTCTAGTATTTAAGGGTCATCATCTAAAGGGATCCCTGGTAAGCAGACTGATCTCCCTCTTTCAAAAAAAAGAAAAAAAACTTTTGGTTCCCCTATTCTCTTGGTATCCATACCAAAAATGATGCTTCATCCTCCATGGCAAAGCTGAAAATTTTTAATTGAGCAGAGCAATGATGCATTTTGCCTATTGGCCCTAGTTTCAAGCAACAAAAGGAGACCGACGAATGTTCTTTTTCCTGCACTGGGTAATAAATGTCGGGAGTATTAGCATCTCTTTCTCTTTGATTTGAATTCTTAGTCCATATTTCTGCTACTAAAAATGTTACTTCTGGCTTTATGGCTGTCCAAAATGGATCAGCAGTTGAGAAGATATTCTGGTATTTTTTTATATTATTTGCAACTATCTTGTCATGTTTTTAAAAATATTCCCTGGTAAGGGGTGGTTAATCTGTTCAACAAATGGTATATTTGCAACGATACATCAGTTTTTCTGCAACTCTACCAGTGGTGGTGATGCATCTCGCAATGGGAAGCCTGTAATTAAAAGGTGAGCACGGCTAATGAGGCATACTGCCTATCTGCCGTGCCATTTAGGATTTACTGCTTCTAACTCTTTTTTTTTTCAGAAATATCTTTAATTGTGGAAAATATACCACATGTATAACAGTTTTTGATTTCTCCCATAAGTATGATCCGTTCTAACTGTGGGCTACTTATTATTTTTTTTATTGGCTTTGGATGTCTCAGGTTCGGTTGGTTACTGATAAAGTGACAAAAAAACCCAAAGGCTATGCCTTCATTGAGTACTTGCACACTCGGGATATGAAAGGTCTGTATGAGCTTGGTGAACCTGTTTCTCTTGATCTGACCTTTTGCAGAATGTGTTCTAAATATCTGCTTGGTGTTGCATGTAACAGCTGCATATAAACAAGCTGATGGGAAAAAGGTTGAAAATAGAAGGGTTTTGGTGGACGTTGAGCGTGGTAGAACTGTTCCTAACTGGCGGCCTCGCAGACTCGGTGGTGGTCTTGGAACAACCCGGGTTGGAGGTGAAGACGTTAATCAGAAATATTCTGGGAGGTATGTGCCACTTTAGTAACTATCTAAATGATCTTCTACTCAGCAGTTCACTAGAATGTATATTTCTAAAATAAAATAGCTCTTTAGAATTTTGGTAATTTCTTTGTTTTTTTCTGTGTATATTAAGAGTCTGAAATATTTGGATGCTGTTTTTGTGGTCTCTAATTTCTGGACGTTTTTCTATGGCAAATTAATCTTTTACTTTTTGAAAAATAAAAAACTTGGGCTGGACTTGTTGGCTACAAATTGGGCGTGTGGTCTCGAAACGCATTGGACTCTTGTGTGATTTTAGTTATAGTTCTATTAAAATATTTTTTAAAGAAGCATATATGTAGACCTGATATTTGAAACAAAAGTGGTGTTACCTCTAGATAATTTTAAGTACATATGCTTACATCTTTTATATAACAAAAGATTGGTAAATTATCATTTCGATATTGAATTATGGGCTATCTGGTAAGTCATTCACAAAAATTTTTCTGTTATAATTTAGTTATTGACTTATAAAATTATTTCAAAACCTGATTCTTTATGTAAATTTTTTGACAATAAAGCAAATTTTCTTCCTTTATTGCTCTAGTAAAATAAAAATGATGAAAGTATAACCTTTCTATTTAAGATTAAGAATTCAATTTTTTTCTTTAAATAATTATTGAAGGCCTTTATTTCTTTTTGAATGTTTGTTATTATCATTTTTACTACTTAAATAAAACAAATTAATTCTTCTTATTGAGTTTATTAATGTTTATCCTTACTTATAACTTTTATTACTCTATTGAAATTAGAATATGGACAAAACATACAAAATTTCGGTTGTTTTCTATCAAAAATTTTTTCAGTTGTATGAAAAAAATATGAATTGAAACAATTTTCCAAGTTTAAGGACTAAATTGTACTTGGAGCTAATTGTAGTATGACG